ATTCAAATATTTTTTGTGAAAATTTTTTAAATTAAGACATCAAACATCAGCGTTCGCGATCGACGACTAGATGAATGATAGATTCATTGCGTTCATCGCTTCTCGTTCGATAGTGAACATTTATTTTTGCATTGTGTAATGAAAAACTGAAAATCGTACATACTTTGAAGAAGGGAAAAATGTTTTGAGACTAAATTACGGTTTGTTGGTGTTGAACTTGTCGTGTTTAGTGGGAATTTTCACGTTGAAACTGAATGAACTGACGCTGATATATCGATTATTGAGTGTTAGTACTGTGCTCTGTGTTAATGAATTCTTTGCCAGTGATTCATATTTGAGATAACATCGATCAACTTGACAAATTTTCGCGTTACTCTGAAATAATATTTGCACATGGAAGCAGTATTTCGTAACTTTACAATTGAATAGCCAAGATATTGTAAATAAAAGATAGAGGTGATAGTTGGTAGTGGTCGTAATCAATAGAATTCCGGTCGGATTCCAGCTGATTTTCGGTTTAGAAATTGTTTTTCAGATTTTCAGTAACCATCGAAATCTGAAAATTCCGATCGAACAATTTTGAACATCGGCCGACATACCGAACTTCGTAATTTCAAAAATGCATTATTCAGTCGGATTTCGAGTGAAATTTTGAATTTCGGAATTTTATAAAACAGATTAGGTTGGATTCCAGCGGAGACCAAATTCCATTCGGTTATTATCACGAGTAGTTGATAGATTATTTCGAGTTTGAGAGCAGTTGATGATGTCAGTTGTTGATTTATTACTGTTATCAACTGGTCGAAATTAATGTTGAACGAAGGAGTTGCACACCTTCAAAGGAATATAGTTGCATTGCTTTCGTTATTGCTCAGTTGATCTCTCAAAAAGTATGTTGTTTCCATCTGAAAGTTCTAATCATCATTTTCTTTCTTTGTTTTAAATGTTTTTTCTGGGGCAAAGCAGTTCATCAATAAGTCAACATATTTTATAATATAATATTTTGTCAAATATTAATTCGATGATAATATTCATAATGAGCAATGTGGTAGGAGTGATCATCTATCATTTACTGGAGTATTTATAGAAGTTTAGTTCCAGGTTGATGTTGTTGACGATGAAGAGGATAGGCTTGCAGCAGAGGATGGGGTTGAGGATCGAAGGGCGCTGAAAAATCAGGTATTCGGATCAGTTTGGTGGCTTTTATGACTCCTTTGCTTGTGTGCAGTAGTTCGAAATATCAATAAAGTCATTCGGTTTCAGTGCTTGAATGTTTTTATTGATGAGTTGAAAATTCCGAGATGAGATGGAGATTCGCAGGAGTGAAGTAGTAAATATTTTTAGTAGTGGTGTTATTTCATAAGAAATCATCAGTTTTTGAAATCCACCGGACGGAATATTATCGGTGATAAATATCCGTAATGTAGTTGCTTTTTGATTCTATTATGACTCGTTGTTTATAGAACAACCCTGGCCATGGTCAGGGTTTGAAAATGATACAGTCACAGTTCTCTTTTTCCTGGTTTATTCAGGGCGTTATAATAGTTATAGTGAGAAAGTTGGAAATCTTTCAAAATAGCGATCGATCCAATTTTAAATTCAGGATGAAAAACCGGTAACCTTCTATAAATTTGGCCCGAAGAAGACGCAGTCGATTGCCATTGATGTATCACTGAACAAACTCAACAAATGCATCAAAGTGGCTTATAAGTGAGCATCGTCAAATGGTCATTTTACTCACTTCANCTGATTATATTTGGTTATGCGATGGCAGGCAGCACTGTTTATGCTAAATCTGAGCAATTTGCAGTAAAATGACTACTCCAAAATGGAAGGATTTTAAAGGACTTCGATTGGATTGGAAACAAAGAATACGTCTCAATAATGTGATCTGGCGAGCGTATTATATGGAATGTTAGTTTTGATTTTTATTTGTATAGATGAAAGGTTTTTCTGATTCTTCGTGAGGACAATAGTGATTAGTGTTAGCGGATAATAATAAAGCTTTTATCTGATAATTGACATTTTTGAGCGTTGATCATTTTTCATTTCACCACTTTGAGAAATAGGAAACTTCTAAGATTATGTTATTTTGCTCACCAGAGTTATATTCTCCCCCTTTTTTTTGAAATAAAGTTTTCGGAATTCAGTTCGTAAACCCGATAAAAACAAGGCCAAAAAGACGCCGTATTGCTACTTTGCTGTGCCAGACGATGACACGACCCACACAAAAATTGAGGTGGTTGATCTTATTTTTCTTTTTGTGCCTGACAACTTGGTGAGAATCTTTGCGTTCTTGTTGAAGCATGCAAAGAGGAAATAACGGATTTCATTTCCTATAAATTTTTACAATATTCAAGCAGTTTCTATTTAATCCTCACATTTTATTACGCAATGCTTTTCCTACTGAAATGTTTCGAGAACAAAATTACTATCAAAACTATGGAAAAATTATGCTGATTTGACCACAAAAAAATTGCAACAATCGATACTCTGGATTGATTTTGTTGCAAAGTTATTTAGTTCGAATTTTGTGCACTTTTTTGGTGATAATAGTTGATAAAGTATGTGACCGTAGTTGAGTCAGGCAGAACTGTATTCATCTTATCGTTTCGCCAGAAAGTATCCGAACCCGTGTGCTCTTTTATGTGCGGACTGCACATACTTAGTGAGTGGATTTTGTTGAGAGAATGTCATTCGATATATGGAGGATTGTGAGCTTTAAGGGTAGCGTCATGGAGGGAATGTACTGGAAGCGCAAAATGGAGGCCGTTTGCGCTCAGTACAAACGTTGGAGGTATTTCACGAAGATTCGTAAACGAGAACGGAAACGCGTAAGTTTTGAAGTGTTTTGCTAGATGGCAGTTCTCACAGCGTTGTGATGTGCATAGATAGTCCAAATGAACTCACTCGGTTCATGCAGTAGCGATAATTGGGTAATAATTATGCAGGTGTCACTCGTAAATTTACTTCGAAAAACTACGAATCGTTTGATTCGTTCTATTTCGTGGTATTTTGCTTGGAATTATACGTTCGGTTTGAATAAAAAATCGAGCGAAAGTTAAGGTGATGCANCAGTTGTAGCTGATAATAAGTTTTTTTTTTCAAAGTGTTCGTATGTTAATTTTTTCATGCAGAAAATTTGCTTTGATCTTTGTTACAAGTGAATCGACCGAATCAACTTTTAGGGCAATAGCTGTAGTGGGGAAATAGGTGGTGTACCAAAAATACCACCCCGAAGTCAAACACCAAAGAACACATCGAGCGAGTATTTCGATATTGATGATTACGATAACGAGTTTACGGACACCCTTTTCGATAGTCTCTCACAACCGTATATGTTCCCGAATCCAAAAGAAATGGGTATGTTGTTTTAAATTTACTCCTTAACGTAGAGTAAATTGTGTGTGTGTGTGTGTGTAACATTGTTTCATTGATGTTCAATCTTTGACGTTACCGATGTTAATCTTGTGGTGTTATGTTGTGCCTTACGATTGCTTCTAAAAATACTTGCAATTCCTCTAAAATTTAACACATACAAATATCAAATAACGTCTGATGTAAAAGCCAGCAGTAATCGATCAAAGCGATCGTTCTTGTCGTAGTATAATCCTTGCAGTCTCATATTTGTTAGTTGAAATTATCGTCATGTCTTTTATTATTGAGATTATCATTATGAATGGCGCTCAATGCAATGATGCCATCCACCTGCATTATTGCCATTTGCATATGTCAGCTTTTTTAAAAAGCAATTTGAATGAAGAAGTTTCTCGAGTCTGCAGTTGCTATCTGATTATCAGCGAGGAACGTGTTTTGGGGATGAGGTTGAAGGATTCCTTTCGATTTTTGCTAAGCAACTAAAAGAGGCATTTTATTTCTAGAGAAAAAAAAATGTTTGAATTATTATTTGGTGCGTTGCGAGTGGCGCTATCGCTTTTTTGTTTTTGATGTGCATTTTCAAGAATTGATTACGTTTGTGCTGGTGTTTTGGTCTTAGGATCTACACTTTGTACTGTGATTTATTGGCGTTGTTGCGGTGATGACGCGTTCACTGATATTACTGATAACTGTTAATTGTCATCTCACTTCAGCATGCTACTTGCAATCAAGAAATAATGGCCTATAATCTCCGTATCAGTTTATCGCATTTATCAATCGGTTGACATCAGTCTAAACATCCCAAAAATTCAATTGATATTATTGCGTTTTGGAGAGCTCTCAATGATTCTTGCGTCAATAGTTTAAGAAAAAGATTTCATTGTTTTTTTGGACGTCTTATGATCTACATCAATATTTTATGCATCAAACTATTATGCCATTTAGAAGCGAACTGCACTGATATTTTTTCTTAAGAATATCATTGTCAAAATCTGTTAATTGCGTATGTTGAACGTGGAACTATTCGTCGTAAGTGACGCAAACATTTCTATTCGTAATATGTAACAAATGAAATGTGGCATGTCTGGTCATATGGAAAAGCTCACATTATCTGTTCACTTTGCAAATTTCATTTCAATTGCCGTCCTCTTGTGATTAGCTTGTAATCAGTTACGTCTGATTATGCATCTGATATCAGATAGCAGCTCGCTTCGACAGAATCTTATTGTATATTAGCAGCAGCAATTAAAGTTCAGTCAGACGCATCAATCAATGTGTTGTCGATTAGAGTGAAAAAATGTGCTCTGAATATTGATTCACTTGGCTATGAATCATTTTGTTTGCATTACATTTTTGCTGAGTGCTTACGAAAAAGGGAATATGGGACGTTTGGGTGACGAACTCAAAGCGCTTGTTGCAGGAATGTTTCGAAATAGCATTTTGATGACGAACGAGATGAACTGTTGTTCGAGACATTCTCAAATATTCACTTATTGCACTTCTCCCTGGTGGTCACAAGGTCACTTTCTTTCAGAGTCCATCTAAAACATTCCTATCCCCGCGTTCGTCTTTTAGCAAAATGCCTTGCTCTCTGTAAAAAGCGCATATATTAGGATAATGCGAAAAGCACGAACACCCCGAATCTCTGAGAGATAACGACGGAATAGAGTTCAAAAATTTTGTGTGGAGTGGTTGGTTTCTAGCCATTTCACATGCAAAGGCACTCTCAACCAAAACTATTGCACCACGAGCTGACAAAAAAGTAAAAGTTTCTTATTGCCACCAATGATGTTTTCTGCTTATTGCGTGTTTTTTTTTT